CTAAAGACTTATTTAAGTTGAAAATTATGAGATAGTTTTGGAAGAGCTGAAATTGGCGAACTTAATTTTCTAGTTGGAATCAGATATAACTTATGTGATTTAAATAACTTGAAAATTGACAAATTGCTGGTATTTGATAACTGACATACTGTTAAATTACTGGTCAAATGATTTTTTTAATTATTAAATTACTAATTGATCAAGCAATTAATGGATTACTAAACACATGGCATTACTATTTCTGGTTCATTTAGCAACTAATTAATTGCTGCATTACTATATAATTAATTCATTTAGATTTTTCTTAATATGTGATTAATTTTCCAGATTTTATCGATAGAAATATGACTCCGCGAATGCCTTGGCATGATATTCATGCATGTACGTATGGCAGTGCTGCACGTGATATTGCTCGACACTTTATTCAAAGATGGAATGCTACTAAAGTAATATTTTTTCTTCATATGTATTGACTTCTCGGTTGAATTAATTGTATTAAATTTTGATCTCTTTTTTTATGAGACTGGAATTACTTCAAAATATTTCCAAAGTGTTCAACATTGTTTGTAGCATCTCAGCTATTATTTTGCAGACGGAAAAATCGAAGGAGTTGAAAGAATATCCGTTTTTATTACCTAAATGTTATGACACCATTAAAGTACCACGCGTCATAGAAACATATAGTAATCTAGCTGATGTGCAAATTTTACGCTCAGTTTCTAAATGGTCATCACTTACTAACGCTACAGAAGATAGTATTCAACAGGTATTACTATTAGCCGGATTTTCCTTTTTTTTTTTTTTTTTAAACAAACTGAAAGTAAGGACTATTCAGTTTTGCTGGTAATAGTGTAAACTGTTCTTCCTAGTTTTGTGTTCTGCACTGTCGATGGAAAATTAATGAAGTGAAATTTTGAAATTAATTCTCTGATATAGTAAGATGATAGATGAGAAAAGTTTGAATTTTAATCAATATGTGAGCTCAGAATGATGATATTTAGTGAGGGTGAGGAATTTTCACAATCATCTTATAGGCATATCTTTCTCTTATTGCAAATGCTCAACATTATGTTTATATTGAAAATCAATTTTTGTTTCCATTATTGATAGCGCTGATGTGGGAAACGAAATTTGTAAAGTACTTTGCGAACGAATCAAACGTGCCTATCGGTTAGTATTAAAAATTTCCCTGAATATTTTTATTTTTTGCCAGCTTAAAATTTAAGTTTGATTTTGAATCGGGTAGCTTCCAGTTTTTTCAAAATGCTTTTTAATCAGATTATAGTCCTGGTTGAAGAGCATTTATTTCAGTGAAAAAGCAAAGTTTCGGGTATATATAATGCTGCCACTGCTTCCTGGTTTTGAAGGTGACATTGGCGCACCAGGTGGTTCAGCATTACAGGCTGTTTTACACTGGACTTATAAATCACTCTCCCGAGGGCCTGATTCGTTGATCGAAAGTCTCAAAAAATTTATGCCTGATCCGATGGAATATATTCATATTGGTTCTTTACGTACCTACGAAATCCTCTCTGGAAAATTGGTTAGGATAAAGTTTTCATGAAATAAAGAAGCTTTATCTCATCAAATAGTCGATTGTGTCTCATATATTTTGAGAAAGAGAGAGGGAGAGAGAGAAAAAAAAACATACTTTCGATCGATTTTTTTGTCATTATATGTTGGGATGTGGCTAGAATATGTTTGTGTTTCAATCTGTATTGTATCAGTGGTATCGCATCGTTAAAATGACACATTCATTTGTTTTTTTTCTCAGAAATTAAAAAATTTTTTCAAATATAGATTTGGGAAGAGATTTGAAATGCCTCAAAATAAATTTATTGGATTTTGTTGAATCAGGTCATATCATGGTATATAAGTATCTTTCCAGCTAACAGAACTAATTTACATCCATTGTAAATTAATGATTGTGGATGACCGATATGTGATTATTGGATCAGCGAATATAAACGATCGTTCACAAGTTGGTAATAGAGATTCAGAAGTAAGAACTACTACATCTCTTTCTCTCATATTGCTTTTTTAAATCACTGAAGAGTACTCTGGGAAGGAAATGCAAGTTTAATTGCAACACTTTTTTATTGGTTTTTGTGCTTTAAGATAAAAAGATTAAGGTAATATGAAGGTAAGAGAAAAAAAAACTGCGAAAACAATCATATAATATATTGTAGTCCATTGTAATAACCTAGTTTTGCTCCAGCGCAATCCATAGGGTAATCGTACAGTTCTAGAATTTAGGTCATCAAGTCTGTAAAATGTGGCGGTAATTGATTTTGCAATAAATGAGTTATGTAAAATGTTTTGCATATCTAAATGACTTTGATAGTATGTAATTGATTAGTTTTCCACCCATTGATTTTAATTATTGATAGTGTTTTGTCCTCTCTAAACAGGTTTGCATTCTTGTCAAAGACTGCGAAAATGTTCCATCTCGAATGGATGGAAAACCATACAATGCGGGCAAATTTGCATTCAGTTTGCGAAAGGCACTAATGATGGTTAGTTATTGATTTTACCATTTTTTTTAATCCTATAAAATTCTTTATTTCTGTTTTAAAAGAAACTATGTTTTTT